TATGTGTGGCTCTAGCCTCTATTCATTCAGACTTGCTCAAAATTTTATACCAACACCACTCCAGCAGCCAGTACCCCACTTGTACTTGCTTCCATCCAAACAGGAAAAAACAGGGAATTTCCTGGGCTCCACTTGGTCAAATTACACATTAACTTGTTCACATTAACTGTTCAGCCATTTCCTCATTCCAAAGTCAAAGAGATTTGAAAGAATCAGCTGTGTATGTAACCGGAAAATTCCAAAGAATGGTCTGAAAACCCTTTGGATCCATCTAGTTCCATTAAAACATCTTTATCAGTGCCCTATCCTTCAAAGACTTTACATCTCACATCTAAACCCCACCAAGTAATGATGTATCCATGATGACAGAATTATAGAAAGTCCTGTTCCCACCCCCCATGTGCCATTATCCTACTCAGCTCAGGAAATTAGGTCCAAAGTGGGTCCTGCTGAATGAGGGAGAGCAGGTACCATTTGTGGCATACTCTCCTTTGCCATGAAGGCCCTGAAATCCTGAATGGATGTTGACATCCCCTAGCAGAGCAAGGCTGAACAAGGCAAAGGGTCAAGTACAGACAACTTGGGCATTGTGGCAAATGATACACCAGGCAAACCTCAATTCTTTCCCACTCATCCACCTTCAGATACATAAACCTGCATCCCTCCAGATGCTGGCTTATGGCTGCATCTCCAGTGTGGAATTAATACAGTTTAATACCATTTTAACTGCCATGACTCAATGCTATGGAATTCTGGGATTTGTAATTTCATGAGATATTCAGCCTTCTCTGTCAGAAAATTGTGATGCCACAACAAGATTCCAGGATTCCATAGGATTGAGCCATGGCAACTAAAGCTGTGTCAAACTGCATTAATTCTGCAGTGTTGTAGCAGCCTATAACTAATTAGTCCTGGTCACTGGCTATGCTTGAAACTTGCTTTCAGAATTTTAATCCTTTCTCAGTAGCACCGTTTCAGTAAACTCAATCCTACACTCATTTCTGCCCCTACAGCTGCTTTACGACAAAATTAATGAGGAGATCCAATTATGAATCTCATACCTCCTATCTCTCTTTGCCTTATTATAATGGTGTGCCGTTATAATGCTGTACAAAGCAGTGTTGAAACAAATCATGCTATCAATATTTAAAGCATTTGGACCCACAGGAGGAGGTAAGGATTTCACTAGAA